GTTTTTTAAGTTAAAAAAAAAAAAAAAAAAAAAGTGATAGGGTGGACGCACAAATGTATACTAGAAAAGGAACACGTAGAGACGAACATATTCTGTGGGTCACTCTCTGCGTAGTTAAGCCCTGTCCTATATCAGGATGCGCTCACAAAGGTCAATGCTCTGTGCGGCTTGCACCCCTCCATTATAATGACATTGTGTATTCTTCAACGCGCAGTCATGGTGCGCCACACTGAAGAGAGGCACCTGTGTGTATGTCCATGCATATTATGCGTGTGCGCTTGCCGATACACGAGATTCTTATATTATTATTTATCTAGTGGATTAACAGATTTATAGCTTTCTCCTGAACGCTCGTCGGGGACCATCTTTTACATGGGGACACACAAGTACGTGCATACATATTAAAGTACGTCTTGTGTAAGCGAGTGGACGCTTCTTCTTCCCGCATAAATTGGCTCCCCTCTTCGCATGTCATAGGGACAAAAGCCCCCCCACCCAGATACAAATAATGATAAAAGCGCATCCTCAAATGAAACCACGTCCTCGGTATGACTTCCCAAGTGCACGGCGTATGCAGGAGGGGGCTGCTGGTCACGCAACTGTGCGATGACTACGCATGCCAATCACTCCCATTAATTATTATATAGCCGCCTGCTCCCCGCTCTGCTTGAATTTTTTTTTTTTTTTTTTTTCGCGCCGCCAGCTAAATTCTTCCCTCTGGCTTTATTAATAAACTTGTCAATGTTCATTTTTTGTTTCCTTTCGGCTCTTTCAATTCTTGCATACAACTTTCGTTTCTTTTTACTGAGGGCGATTTTACGTCTCTGTATATGTTCCGTCGTTTGAGCTGCCTGCAACTCCTTAACTCTCTGCGCATTATTCTTGAGGGTTTCATCCCTCACTGGAACGTAATTGTCCTCATCTTCCAACTCCATTTGATTATTTAAACATGCATTTCTAAGTAGTTGCAATTTTTCCTTACTTAATTCATCGTCTGATATGAGCAAATCCTCGTCTTTATTTGCCTGACCATGTTCATATTTTTTTGCTGTTTCCTCTGCGTCAGTGTCCTGGGCATTTTTCTCTGCCTCTTCATTCAACAACTTGTTAATTGCGTATTCCTCCTTTTTCACAAAGTTTTTAAAGTTGTCATCCTCAATGAAAGGAGAGAGGTGCACAGGTAAATTTGTTACATCCACAGAGTAATCACTACATGGGAGAATTTTTTTTCTGTTCAGGCAATCGAATATGTATTGAGGTTGTACATACATCCTATCAAATTTTTGCTGCTCCATTTGTTTGCCTTCACCATAGGGTTCTAAAATTTCGTGAGTGATATTGTTGTCGCCTAGCTGATAAGGGGAGTACGGGGAATTCCATCCTATGGAACCTCCACAAGAAAGGATAATAAGAGAAAGTATATCGAGAGGCATGTCCGTGTGGATATAATATATTTGATTTTTGAATAACTCCTTCAGGGTGTCATTTTCTTCATCTATGTTGTGTTTTATTTCTTCTATTTCTTCTTCGCGCTGGTTTGGGTGGTGACCGTCCTGTGTAGACTGCACCACAGGGTGGGCGCCATCCAGTGTGAGTACATTTTTCTCCCCCACCTGACCGTGCGAACTCCCGAACTTCTCCTTACAGAGCGAAATCAAATACTCGTCGTATGACAGGTGCCTGAGTTGTTCATTTTTCAGCAGTTCGCTCTGTTCAGGAGGGTACGTCATATTGTGCATTTTGTAAAGTTTGAAGAGGACAAATTTGAGCAGACAAATGTAGTACTCGATAAAGGTGGTGATCATGGAGAAGTCAATGGTCTTGTCTAAGTAAGGCGTAAATGTATGGGGTATAAGCCATGTAACTTTCTTCTGCAAAATTTCTGCCTGTAGGTAATAGCCCTTTACACTTATGAACCCTTTTTTAATTCTGTTCGTTTTGTAAATGAAGTGATGAAAGTGATTTTTTATCACTTCGCAGTTTGTAACAAAGCGGTTTAAAACTCCGATATTCTCGTTGGAAGGAAGTAACGAATAAGCAACTACTGCACTTAGTGCATCGTCTAGCTCTTCTATTGCGTAGGAGAATACAGGGAAGCGTTCCTTAATTATATGATCCAGTGCATACTTTGGGAAATTTTTTATCAGGGTTTTACATTTTTCCTGATCCTCCAATGCCACTTTATATTTTTTATACTTTTTCAAACATGTTGCGATTTTTCGAAAGTCTTGTATAATTTTTTCATGGGCCAATTTGTTCAAGTCATTTTTGGAGTAGTATACCTTTTGCCTGTAGAATTTTCTTCTTAATTTTACTGGTATTTCCTTAAAGTCTTTGGGGTAGATGCCCTTGAAGATGCACAACTTTTGAAATTCCTTGTCGTTCAGGTATAACTTCTTCAATATACTTTTCTTGGTGAAGTACTTGCCCTCCTTCTTCTTCTTCGTCTTCTTGCGCAGCTTGTGGATATGCATTTTGGCAGCTGCAAGGGTTGGCGATATGTATGCGGCGAATAACGAACCTTGCCTTAGATAGGCTGGTACATTTACCCCTATTTTACTCACTCACAAACGGTTGTCGCGCTGCAGAGGATGCTTCCCAAATGGGAGGAAAACAAAAGTGAACAAGTACAGAATGACACGATGCGGGTGGAAAAAAATAAATAAATAAACAAACCGCTAGCAACGTTCCATCAACTGCGCGGGAATTTTTTAAAACATACTCAGTGGTACATATTTGTATATTTCTGAAAAGGCATGTGTCCCTAAGCGCAGATCAACCAATTTTTTTATTTTTTTTTTTTTATTTTTTTTTTCCGCCTCTTTGTACAAGTACGGTATGCACTGCTCATGGATTTGGGGCTGTCACAATTTTTTGCGGTTCCGCACTCCACCGCTCCTCATTCCATGCATAACGTGTTGACAAATGTTTCGGTTGAATAAAATACCTGTAGCGAGGAAACGGTTGAGTCGACAGTGCGGCGCTACTCACGCAAGCGCGGCATATATTATTATATTTTTGAGCGCACGAACTTGATGCCATTTTACACCAGCAGTTGGAATGGCTAGCCCAAGCGGCGACGCTAATCCCATTGCAACAATTTTTTTTTTTTTTTGTAATCTTAACCACCCTACCGCGATGTGAAGTTATATGAGTTATTTTCATTTTCCCTTTCTCGTGTTAACATGATGTAGCTTTTAGAGGATAATAACAATCGCGTGTCAAAATAGGGACCATATTTCCCCTTTATTTTGGCGGTTTCATATTTGCCCCAGTATATGGACGCAAATAATTGGACCTGTTTTCATATGCCCGTAGAACACTCCTATATATTCTCACTTTGTTGTGGTATGAGTACAAAATGACGGGGGACCGACAGATGAAAGGCTCCCATATGGGGGGGTTTATTCCCCCCTCGTCCATCCCCTTAATCAGTGAATAATCACTGGGGTCAATTTTCTCAACATGAAAAAATTAGGAACATGACCGCATGCGAATGCGCACATTTGGTTTTTCCCTACCCGCTCTGCTTTAAGGTTTAATGGTAATTTGTGCCCCCTCAAAACAAAGGTTTTCTTTGTATTCGAGAACCTAAAGGAGTCCCCTTATCTTCGTATAGAGGTTCCCGTTCTTGTAACCTCCCTCTGCATCGTTCGTAAAGACAAAGTGGAGGAACTGTGGCGATGCAGCACTTTACCACCCACTTGCCAGCGCGTGCCTACATGCAACGGTAAGGAGACTACCAGGTGGATCATTTTTCCGTGTGGGGGATGAAGCCCTAATTGGGAACAACAAGAAATGGGGCTGCCTTGAGTGCGCTGCTGTCCACGCAGGGGCATATCACGACGCAAATAATGGACAGCAAAAAGAGGGGATCTGCGAAATGCCATTTTTGTACACAATTGATGTCAGGCACCTGGGTGATATATATATTTTTATTTTTCCATAAGACTGGGGTTCATTTGAAAGCGGCCCTCTCCGTGGCTTTTATCCGTTTTGCTTGGAAGGGTCGGTAAATTTTTTAGCGTGGAACAGTGGGAGAATTCGCTGCTGAGCAATTATGCGGTTGCTCCTTACAGTACGCGCTTCTTTTTTTTTTTTTTTTTTTTCCGCGAATGGGGGAGAGACAAATGTCGTTCGTATGGACGATTCCTTCATGATGAAAAATGAAGAATGTGCAAAGAGAACAAAAAGGAAAAAAATACAATAATGAGAAAGTTATGAGTAGTGAAACGAACTATAATCCTTTTTTGAGTAGCGAAAATAAAAAATGGATTGACGAAGCTTCTTCGTTCGAATCGAACACAGTGTGTAGTAATATAGGTGTAGGTTCCTCCGTTGACAAATGTAAGGAGCTCACCGGGGAGGGTGAAGCAATTGGAGAGGTGTTACACATCCCAATGGGAGAAGCAAAAGGAGGAACGAGAGAACTACTGCGTGAGGAGGATGGACCCATTGTGGGGAGTCAACCAGTTATTGGTCTCACAAAGGGAGGCCAGACAGGCGATGAGCCCAATGGCGACAATGGCTACGAAGGGACGGGCTACGTGAATGTGACTTTCTCAGGGGGAGAAACAACAGGTGAGGATAATACACGTTCGAAAGGCCCCCTGGAGGGGTGTAAAACGGACGATGTTTTGTCAGCGAAGGGGGGGAAGCATGTGGGCAAAAAGGGAAGGGAGAACAAGTGGTCAAGTAAAAAGAGAGTAGAAAGGCAGACAAACGCCACAACTACCATGCTTGAACAACCGGGAAGTGAAAAGCTGGAACACCTGAAAGACATCCTACACGAACAGCTAAAAAAAAAAAAACATATATTAGAGGAAAAGCTAAGGGTGAGGCAACATGAAAGGAATAAATTAGAGGAAGATGTAAAAAACGCAGGAGTAGAACTTTTTCGAGTAAACAAAGAAAACGATTTTTTAAATAAAAAGGAACATGAGTTAAGTGAGGCAATAAGGAACATGAAAAATGAGAGAGAGAAGCAGTTGAGAAAGCAAACAGAATTGAAAAATAATTACAACAGGCAAATGGCAAATTTGAAGAAAGAGCTGAATTACCAATCTGATGTCTTCAACAAGTTTAATAATAGCCTCCTCGAACTGAATAACTTGAGGAGGTACTTCAATTTGGTGAATGCCAACTCGCGCATTAGTGAAAATGTGTTGGGCACGAGGAAGAAGAAGCGGCAGGGGAAGGTAGGCAGTGGAGAGGGGGCGCCTGAAGGGGAAGAGCCTGCTGTAGAGAAACCCACAAAGGACAAGTCCCTTCCCCTGGTGAGACAGTCATCAATACAGAAGAAGGAAAATATACTGAACAAAATGAACCACGACTTGAACGAAATACAAAACGACATTGACATAAAGAAGGACATGGAAAGAAATGAGCAAACGGAATGTGCTAATTTGGAGCGACTAATAAGTGAAGAGAAGGAAGAGTATGAACAGTTAAAGAAGGGGAGAAATGACATGCTCAAGGATCTAAACGACTCTATACAAAAAATGAAACAGAGGGATGAAGCTATTGAAGAAATGAACACCAAGCTGATGGAGCTAAAGACAACCATATATGACATGGAGATACAGAAGGATATTTTGACGAAGGAGCTTACAAGGGAAAAGGAGAAAAAGGAAAAGCTTCAGTCTGAACTTGGGGCGCTGAAAAACGAGACGGAACGAACTATACAGGGGAAGAAGGAGATGCAGACGGAAGTGAATACCCTTGTGAAGCACATTGAAGAGGTCAAAGTGGGGATACAAAATGAGCGAGACAAGTGTGTACAAATAAATGAAGAAATAGGAAAACTGAAAAAGGAAATACGAAACAGGGAACACAAAATAAAGATTGTAAAAAATGACATTAACAAAAATATTGACAAAATAATTAACATGTACACAGAAGAAATTAAAGTGAGTCATTTTTCTTCAAAAATTAAAAGTGATCTGGCGAATGTGAAGGAAAGCATAATGCGAAAGGAAAACGAAATTGAGAATTACAAAAATGGTATCATTCGAATTAAGATACAGCAAATACTTGAAAGTACAAAAATAGAAAATGTACAAGAAAAGGTAAAAAAATTAAATGAAGAATTTGAGGAGAAGCATGAAATGTTAACTAACTATGATCATGTCATAAAGAAAAATCATTACTTGATTGAAAACAAGCAGCTCGAGGTAGACAGACTGAACGAGGAATTTGATAAGAAAAACAGAAGAAACTGCGATGACCATGGAATGCCTCTTACATTAAACATAAAAATACAAAAGTTGAACAAACAAATAAGGGACGTGCTTAAGCAGAGTAGACATTTGGAAAAGGACTGGTTTTTGAAACAGTCGGAAATGATAAAAATACAAAATGAAAACCAAAAAATGAATGAAGAGATGCTTAGGGGGAAAGATTTACGACTCATTTTGAATCAGAAGAAATGCGAATTACAGGAAAATTTCAAAAATGCACAAAATGTACTTAAAAAAATTAATAAAAATATTATGTACATACGCTTACAGCTGGAAAAATTTGCTTCCAAAAATTCAGACACCTTGGGAGAAATCGACAAAATGGAAGACGATATGCTCAGATGGAGTGAAAAAAAAAATATAAAAAATGAGGAATATAAAAGGAAAAAGGAAAACTTAAAAAATGATATCAACTCTTTAAAAAATGAAAAGGAAAAATACCAACAAGATCTCCTACACTATGAAAATAAAATTCTCCTGCTGGAGAATAAAATTGAACAAAAAAAAAAACTACAAGGGGTTATTAAGGAATACACGGAAAACAAAGACATACTCTTATTGAAGAAAAACATACAGGCCAAAAATGATCTCATTGAAAATGCAAAAAAGCAACAAAATATTCTCCTCGCGAATATCAAACAGGCACTAAACAAGCGAAACGAACTCGACAATAAAAAGGAAGCTTTCCAAAAAAATGTTGAAAACGGAGTTAATGTCTCCTTTAAAATACAACACGAAATTTCTTTTGCTAAAAAAAACGTCAAGGAGTTTAAAGGGAAAAAGGTATCCCTCGCCAAGTACTTAACCGAACTGATCCATTCGTATGACCAACTCACCAAGCAAGCACAACAGGAGAAGACACACCTCCTACATCTAAACAGACAGTGTAATATCTACGAAGGTATACTGAAGATTCAAAATTGTGAAAAGAAGCAACGGTTTCAGGAATTGCTAAAATTTCAAAACGCAGTAAAAAATGGTGGCTATCTTAACAACTCGAAGAAGCCATATGAAACTGTACGGAAGAGCTGTGCCTCGTACAGGAGGAGGCTTGTTGCCATTGAGAATAAGCTGCGGGACTTGGACACCACGGATGAGGAGTACGCCAAGTTGATTGGGGTGCTGCTCGAGTGGCTCGCCAACTGACAGGGAGTATCGCAGTGGAGGGCTTTTTATTTATAACACACCCGGTTGAAGCGCCCCCTTTTGGTTACCCCCCTCGTTGCACCGCGCCAGTTGGAAGACGCGCAGGATTGGCTCTTTTTTCCTTTCCCCAACTGTAGCGTGACTAACCTTTGCAGTTTATTCCCTCCCGTATTGACATCCACCTACCAGACATATGTATTCCTTTCCTGGCGTTTTATTTTAGGCGGCCGCTTCATCACCATGTGTATGCCTCTGCTTAACCAATCCATCCTATGCCTTTATACGTTTTAGAAGTGGGAGTTTTTTTCAAGCTTTCCATACACTTTGCACTGAACCGTAGAAAGGTGTTAGGATGTTTGCGAAAATTTTACATTGTTTCCCCAAAATTCTGTGCTCCGTTTTTAGAATAACCTCCCCACCGCCATAAAACTTTATGCACGTTTCATTTATTTCATTTTTTTTTTTTTTTTTTTTTTTTGTAGCAATTTTACTTAACGAATTGTTTCGCACATTTCTCGTTTTATTTTTTTTTTTTTTTTTTTTTTTTATGTGACACTCGGGCAACACTTCTTTATGATCTTCTCTCCTTCTCGAAGAAGAGCACATTGTAGTAAAAACGTAAAATTTTTTAATTTAAAAAAAAAAAAAACAGAAAGTGTAAGCAGAGTGGAAATAGATAGGTGTGGCGCTGAACGTGACGGTAAAATATATAACAGCTTCTTAAAAAGGGGCGCAATACCTTAAAGGCTAGCACGCTGGTTAAGGAACCACAGAGGAAAAAAAAAAAAAAAACTACACCTTCTGGCTAACGGTGTATACACCGTTGTGTTACTGCCCCAGTGACCGCTCGTCCTTTTTTGGCCACGCCACGTCGAATAAGTTAATTCACCTCACCCACTCGGAGTCCACAAAATAGTAAAATGCGAGAAAAATGAATTTCTACGAAGCATTAGGGAACGCTGCCATAAATGAGGAAAATAAAGAGGATTTTAAAAAGCTAATTCTGAAGAGCGAAAGTTTTATCGATGATGTGCTGCACGAGCAACTTAAGGAACGACAAAAAAAGAGGGACGAGATTCTGCAGGACATTTTTGACATGTAAGTTAGCCAAGGAAAAAGCGCCTTAACGCTTGCGGCGGAAAGATATCTGTCCATTCGCGCATAAGCCCAATTTACACCTTTGCATGTATTTGTATTAAAAATGAGTACTATTTCGACTTAGGGGGATGCATCCCACGATATGGAAATGCATAGAATGGCCACTTGTGTGTTTTAGCCTGATTGGGCCGACCCCCCAGCACACTTCACTAACACCGGAGAAACGTCACCCCTGCAGGCAAATCCTCGTTGAAAATCTTAAACTTTTCATTAACATGAAGGACCAAAAGCAAATCGAGACGCTTACCATGCTGGGATGCGACAGTTACGTTTACGCCGACATGTAATGAACGGAAAAGGGTGAAAAGGGGGCGAGGAAACGACCCAGAGGGAGCACACGTTCGTTGTTACTCGACAAGCATATATGTGGCGAAGGATCCCTCATGCGTGTGTGATCACACGCGAGTGCTCTACCTATCTCTACCATCACACATGCTGCATGAACATTTCCCCCATGGGCAGATTAGACAAGAACAAAATTTTTATCCAAATAGGATATGAGTTTTATTTGGAGATGTCCCTGGAGGACGCTATCGTATTCTTGAAAAAGAAGATAAATCTTTACGAGGAGTGAGCGCAGAGAGAGACTGCACGAGTGTAGGCGTCTGGGTCTACATCCGGATTATGCATGAACTATTTTATGTGCCCTAGGGGAGGTGCTTTCTTAATAGTTTTCCCTTTTTTTTTCGGAGCCATTTCGATATCCCCCCCTAAAAATGTTGTGCCGTTTCCACCCCTTTGCAGTAAAGTGGCCTACTGGAACAAGCAGATATCGCGGGTCAAGGCTCACATACAAATAGTAATTACGTTGAGAATTTCGTTCCTCACTGAGCGTTTTTATGAATGGTACACTTGTAGTTTAACTTCACGTGTTTATAATGATGACATGATTTTATTTCTTTTTTCCCTCCTACTGCAGCTGATGAGAGCTATTTCAAATTTGACTTGACTTGCCTCGGGGACCTCTTAAAGGGTGCTTCAGCCGGTGGACGGCTTGACAGATTCAGCGACTTCGCGATTTAGCCAATTCAATGTATTCGTTGAAGTACACCCCCTTTTGTGCGCTTCCTTCGATGGAGAAGAAAACATTTTCCACTTTGTGCAAGCGTGTGTGTGTGTGTATCTGTACACATACCTCTGCTGATACTTATGTAGTGACGCACATTTAACCCCTTAAGCCTTGCACTGCGCAAATTTCGTGTGTCTCCCCGCACACGTCACAATTCACGCAACACATGAACGTGTATGCTCAGCATGAGTGTAGGTTGTCGGAAAAAACGCCCAAAATAAACCGATAGTAGAGGTCATTTTACATTCCAGTCGAGCGTTCGTTTACCCCTCCGTTTGCATACCCATTCTACGTTCAATAAAGTGAAGCGATAAAAAAAAAAAATTTTTTACACGCCGTTTTCCTGGTTGTTCCACTTTTTTGCCTGAACAGTGCGAGCCATGGAACATTTCAATTCGCTTCTTTTTTTTTTTTTTTTTTGTTAAAAAGGAAATCACACATTTGGTGGAAAACGCATGTGTGTTTGAGAATAAAGCTACAGTTTGAGAAAAAAATTCTGAACAAGTCAGGTATATTTTGCATAAATGTGCAAAATGGTTGACAAAAAAAAAAAAAAAAAAAAAAAGTGAGAAATAGCTGTGCCCTTTTGTGTATGCCCTCTGATTGCGTTATATTTTTGCTTCATTTTGCTTTGTTTTATTTACACCTTTTCTTTTATTATTATTTTCAACAGTGGAGTGTTACGCTACTGCCAACATTTTAATCGCACATTTTTTTTAATTTTATTTACAACGTTAAAGTGTGTTTTTTTTTTTTTTTTTTTTTTTCCTTTTTGTCAACCATTTTTAACTGTATCGGTTCATAATGAGTTGACAATTAACCTTTGCTTGTATCATCATTTTGAACGTGACGAAAGAGAGTACGCAGTTGGTGATTGGTAAATAGAATAAAACGAGCTAGAAGTTTTTCCTTTAACGAGGGGGAAGAAACTCCATGGGCCATTGTATGACATGAAGTCTCGACTTGTTCAATTTGTGTAACCTGTTACGCAGTTCTCTGAGGGAACTGTGAGAATTATTTTAACGGACGCACGGGAGCACTGCGCGAGTTCCATCGTATACCATTCATTTTTCCTTCATACAACGCTGTTAAATTTTGTGCAGTTTTGCATATATTTTTTCAAATTTGCCGAATTTTAATAATTTTCGTTTAACACTTCTTAACCCTCGCGCGCTTCCTTCCCCCTGCGGACAACTTTTCTTTTCCCCCCAATAATGTCTAACAATGAAAGCGGCCATCGCGACGCAAGATGAGGTCCACGAAATTTCGAATAACAATGTTGTGGAAGAAATAGAAGAGGAGCACCTGTACACAGGGCCCCTAAAGATTGAACAGCTACTGGCGAAGGGGTTCGTAAAAAGGGATTTGGAGTTACTCAAAGAAGGAGGACTACAGACAGTGGAGTGTGTAGCGTATGCTTCTATGCGCACATTATGTGCAATAAAAGGAATTAGTGAACAAAAGGCGGAGAAGTTAAAAAAAGCGTGTAAAGAATTGTGTAACTCTGGCTTTTGTAATGCCGTTGATTATCATGATGCTAGGCAAAATTTAATCAAATTCACAACAGGGTCGAAGCAGTTAGATTCTTTACTAAAGGGTGGCATAGAAACGGGAGGAATAACTGAATTATTTGGAGAATTTCGTACAGGTAAAAGTCAGCTATGTCACACGTTAGCTATAACGTGCCAGTTACCAATCGAGCAATCAGGAGGAGAAGGCAAATGTCTATGGATAGACACAGAAGGAACTTTCCGTCCGGAACGTATTGTAGCTATAGCCAAGAGATACGGATTGCACCCAACCGATTGTTTAAATAATATAGCCTATGCAAAGGCGTACAATTGTGACCACCAGACAGAATTATTAATAGATGCAAGTGCAATGATGGCTGATGCCAGGTTTGCTTTGTTAATTGTCGACTCGGCCACTGCCTTGTATCGATCGGAATACATAGGTAGAGGTGAGCTAGCTAATAGGCAATCTCACCTGTGCAGGTTTTTAAGAGGCTTACAAAGAATTGCAGACATTTATGGCGTTGCTGTTATCATAACCAACCAGGTGGTGGCGAAGGTCGATGCGATGAACATGTTCGGAGGGAATGAAAAAATCCCCGTAGGGGGGAACATCATAGCGCATGCTAGCCAAACAAGACTCTACTTGCGGAAGAGTAGAGGCGAAAGCAGAATTTGCAAAATCTACGATTCGCCGGTGCTTCCGGAGGCCGAGGCCGTGTTCGCCATCACGGAGGGGGGTATAGCTGACTACGAGGAGAAGTGAGACGGACATCCGCGGCGCACGCGCAATGTGTAGAGGTGCCAACAATTCAGGAGGCTATATTGAGGCGTGCATGTGCAGGCTTCCCCCCGCACGAGTTGTTGCAAAGTCACATTTTTTTTCCATCGACGTTGTGCATGTACGTGGTGTGTTTCATGACTATAATCCACATTTGAGATGAGCGTGACAGTTTCATACGTCGGATTGTGAAAATCCTTCCCCTGTTGCTTTTTAAAGACCACGTTATTATTGTTTTACTGTTGTTTTACTAGCATGTTATTAGTGTTTCCTTTTTTACACTGTGGAAAGAAGTGGCCCACAAATGCAGAGAAACAAATCAAAGCGTCCTTTTTGTTGTTCATGCTCTTCACAATTGAGAAGAAGGGGGTACGAGCATGTCACACAAAAAAAGGCACAAAGCAAGCGCAATACAGCAACTTTGTGTTTTTTTTTTTTCTTTTTCCCCCTACTAATTAATTTTTTTTGCTAACAAAAGATAAGACAACTTTTTTTTTTTTTTTTTTTTTTTTTTTCGTTGTAATTACACCATGATGATTTAGTAATTCGTCACGTTTTGCAAATTGGGTCACATGAGATCGCACACAGGTAGTTCTTTTCGACTTGCTACTTCTGGGAATTTCTGGCGAGCTAACTATGCTTAACGCTGTTTGTGCGAGGGAGGAGGAAGCGGGGAGATATATGTCTCCCTTGGATTGTACGCCTGTACGTACAGAGCTGCATCCGCACAACCTGCGTTAAGCCAAGTTATTTATTATTTTTTTTTTTTTCAAAACCTACATGTCAGCACACTTCTGACTTTGCTATGTCAACAGAGAGGTCTCCACATGAAGGTTACAAATTGGGGGTCGGCATAAGTTGGTTGGAACATTTGGAAGAAATAGGTAATCGGAGGTGGCATCCTTTTATGTGCATTATTTTGCGAAGCAAAATGTATAGTGTGTATGGTGGGGAAGTTTCACGTGGGGAGTTTTGCTCATATAAATTTTGCGCGCAGATCTTTTTGTGCATGTGAAGAAGTGAAGATGTGAATGTGCTTTTTGTGCACTTGTCAAATGGAGAAATTTTGTCCCCTTTTTTTTGCAACATACATTTGGCGTGGACATGGCGATAATGGGTCCCCCTCCAAAAAAAAATGGGCACAGATAATACGTACATGTTGGTTATACAAATGGGTGTAACATCTTTCCACTCGATCCGCGTCGTCATTATGTTAAGATGCGGCACAGGCGATTGATTTACATTGTCGTTCGGCGGCCCCTGCTACCATTATGGCTGGGGTGCTGCCACGCATATAATTCCTGACCTGATCATCGCATTTGCCCCGTATTTTCCTATATGGGGGATAAAACCAGAGGGGTGAAAAGGGGACATGCATGCAACCACAACCTATGGGTGTATTTTTTTTATCCGCACCTGAATATGCCGCATCGCTGGTATATAAGAATTTCAAAAGGGGTTAACAAAAATTTTATGACTTTGGTGTGGTTACGTTCGGGAATTAATAAAACGGGGTTAATTTTTTTAGTGCGCATCACACATATATGCATTTCCTTTTGCGTTAGCGTACTGGTGAGAAGCCTGCCGATGCGACGTGCATTTGGTTAAAGTGCACACCCTGACTCGACCGTAGCGCCTACAGATGTTAGCAGTGTAATGCAGAGAGAGAGTATCTACCAAAAATGACAACCCTAGCGTTGCTCGTAAACAAACCCTGGGGGGCTAAACGGCTTTACTCACCGCATTTGTCCCATGACACATTTTTTTTTATACGGCTCTGATGCTCTACAAAATGGGGGAAGCACTGCTCCGCGTCGATGGTGTACATTACAGGTTGCTTGAACGTATGCATGTAACCGTTGTTGTAGCAAGCTGTAGGGGGTAAATGCAACCGGAACTGTGAGCACACTCGCACCGGGAAATTTAAGCCAAATTGACTTTTGAGTATCCCGCTCAGTTGAGGCGGCTTCCTTTGTGCATACAATGAAGCGGAAAAGGGCTCACAGCGACAATACGCGCTTTGATGTAGGGACGACGAGTGTATGCGTGTAAATATAAAGGCGCATGCCTTTTCAAGCGCGTATGCGCGCCGTACATTGAGGGGTATACGTTATGGAATGCATTTTTGTGCGGCTTTTTACATGTCGCTGGGACTGTAAATCAATAAGGTAAAATGAAAATAAAAGCGCTGTGTGTTCCTGGGGAATTGGCAGCACGTAAAATTATACGTATGCAAACAGCGACGCATACAAAATATAATTATACGTACATTAATCTGTACACAATTTTGTACATGCGCGACGCCCACATGGTTTGGGTTTAAGAAGTTTATATATACATCCCACGTAAAACCAACAGGTACCACCAAAAAATATAGCACAACGGGTAAAAGGAAAAGCCGGCCAAGTCAAACCCTTTTTTTTTTT